TTTTGTAAGGGGTGTGTGTGTATACAAGAGAGAGAGAGAGAGAGAGAGAGAGAACGGATCCCCTTAACACGGCTCAGACGGCCCATGCAGGCTATCTGAAGGGTCCTCGCATACATGTAGCACAGACCCCCCCACCAAAATCGAGGGGCAGCCAGTGAATATGAAAGAGAGCACGGGCTGGCCGAATATATACTCAAGATTCGAATTCAGGTTTGTGTTTCAGCAGTTATGGGTTGCTCACGTAGCTAGGGCCTGTTGGTCTCTGCACGTGACTCTTAGGGCTTGGCTGCACTACTCACGAAATGTGCAAAATTAGAATGAATCTTCTGCAGAACGTGGAATAATACACCACCATATGTTTTGTCTTTTGTGCATTTGGTGAGTAAAGGTCCTTAGGGCCACTGCACGTATTCCTAAGAAAAGAAAAACGAGAAAAGAAAAGAAAAGCGAGAAAACAGAGAAATGGTGACCCATAACCGAGATGCAGACCTGAATTCGAATCCAGACTATATATTTTCTGCCCACCCTCAGCGAGTACAAGTTTGAAGTGTATCTCTGCATGACGTCGGGTCCTAGCTAATATGCTGTAGGGATCCTTCCGAAAAGAGGCTGGACACAACTAGGACATTTTTGTTTTTCTATTTTTTTAATGCGCCGCATCACTTGTGCGTGCGTGCATGTGTGTGCGGCACCCCGCGCATGAGATACGCTGCAAGTATGATTCGAACACATCTCTCTCTCTCTCTCTCTCTCTCACACACACACACACACACACACACACACACACACAAAGGGGGTCCGAAAGGGGGTCCGAAATCCCCCGGCAGGTGAGTGTCCTGGGGGGGGGCCCAGACCCCAACCGGGTGCCCTGCCCGGCCAGGCCGCCCGGGACCTCCCCCGGGCCCCTGCCGGTCACCCAGGCGGCCCGGATCCCCACTCAGAAAAAAAACTCAAAACAAAAATTTGAGGAATGTGACAGAGCATGAAATTCTCTCTCTCTCTCTCTCTCTCTCTCTGTCTCTGTGTGTGTGTGTGACAGAGCATGAAATACTCTCTCTCTCTCTCTGTGTGTGTGTGTGTGTGTGTGTGTGTGTGTGTGTGTGTGTGTGTGTGTGCGTGTGTGTGCGTGCGTGGGTGTGTGTGGGTGTGTGTGTGCGTGTGTGTGTGTGTATGTGTGTGTGTGTGTGTGTGTAACACGGCTACCCCATATACAATGGGGAACCAGACCACGTATCTGTCCAATCCTAAACATGCGACAAGTTAGCAGCAGGCTTGACACATATTGGGTTTAAGAGGGGAAATTTAGTCATCAACTCCATGACAGGAGGATGCATGCATGTTAGTTCTGCATCATCAATTAGGGGGGAGCAGATTATAGGGTAGGCTGGGGTTAGAGATGGCTGTTGAAGACAGCCATAGGGGGGGTGCATGCCCTGAAGCGCGTTTTTCGCTGCTTAGCACCCATAGCAGCTCGTCAGAGGGCGAATGCTCCATATTAGTTAGCAGATGGGGAGGGGGGAACTGGACTGGGGAAAGAAGGTAGGGGGGTTTAAAAGGGTTTATCAGCGGGTATGTTTGAGCAGTAACATACCTGTGAGCGAAGCGCCTGCGAAGAAGAAGTCTCCTCGACTGTAGCCATGTTCCCTCGGTGAGTTAAGCCGTGTACGCAACTCAGAGGAGCGCATCGATGGCGGGAGGGTATTAGGAGGCCTTAGCGAAGACGTCCTGTAGGCGAGCGTTAGGCTCCTCGTACTCGCTGGTTAAGCGGGCGCTAGGAAGTCGAAACGGCAACATAGGAGGTTGGGGAATACGGGCGAGCTCCTCAGCCAGTTCCGCAAGCTTGCCATGCGCAGATGAATAGGCTAGTGGTGGTGGGCATGTTATATGGTGGAGATACATAGTAGTAGTACCAGGTGTTGTTTTACTGAGTGTTTTGCTGGGGGTGAGCTTGCTGGTAACGGGCGGGTGGCAGTGGGGTGTGTGTTCGTGTGATGGGGTGTGCGCTTTGCATCGGTGAGGGGCGAGAAATGGGTGTGAGGTTTCCATGGCGGTGGGTGTTTGATCGTTCTGTCTGAGTAGAGGATTTTTGCTCGTAGGGGGACTGGTCGCCATGTTTTCATGCTTGTGCTGATGCTGGAGTCCAAAACGAGTTTGTTTTGTTCTAGTGCCGGTGCTGCAGGGAGGATGGCCTTGTCTGTCGTTTTAGGGAGGGGAGTTCGCCAAGGCGCGTGATCCTCAAGGTAGTGGTGGATTTTTTGCGCGGGTGCATTGCGACTTGCGTTGTCGTGTATGTGAGAAGTTTTTTGGCAGTGTCGTTTGGGTATGGTGGTGTGGTGATGGTTTTGTCTGGGGTGGTTGCCTTTTTTGTTTGTGTGCGGCGCGTTTTTCTCCGGGGTGTTTTGTGCAGGGTGTTTTCTGTCCTTCATGTTTTTTGTCCGATGTGTTTTTTTCGGGGTGTTTTTTTTTGTGTGTGTACCTGTAATTTGTGTGTGGATGATGCATGTTTTTCTGGGGGTGTTAGTTCAACACTACACTGTTTGTTTTCCCCTTTTTTTGGGTGTGTGTGGGTTGCGTATCCCATAACTCAGATTTGGGTTAGTGTTAATAGTTTTTTTTAAAGAAAACATCATTTTCGTGGTGGCGAATTGTAGTTGCAGTTTTTGGGGCGCAGGTTCCAGAAGTCATTAATAGTTTAAGACCTATAGATTTATGGGTTTAGCTTTGTGGTTTCTCAGGATATGTGTGGGATGTATTAATTAAGTTAATCAGGAAGTATGAATTTATTTAATTTTGTTTTTATTTTTCCATTTTTGTTTTATTTTTTTATTTATACTTTTATCTTATTTATATTCTTTACTGATTTTTATTACAATTTTTTGTTCACGATTTTATATTATAATTATTGTTATTTATTAAATTTATTTGATATTATTTATATTATATTATATATATCGTCAAACAGAACTGTCCGGTAAACCGTAGGCAGAGAGGAAGAAGAGGACAACAAACGAGGGGCTGTGACAAAGTGTTTCGTCGGAGTTTCACCGACTCATCAGGAGGCTTATATTTATTTATATTTATTTATTTATATTTATTTTATTTTTATTTTGTAATTTTTAATTTTAAATATTTATTTATATATTTTATATATTTATTTATATATATATTTGTAGTTATTTTTATTAATTTTAATTATTATTAATTATTATAATATTATTATTATTATTTCTTATTATCTATTATCACTTTTTCAATTATTATTATTTTTTAACTACTGTTATTATTATTATTAATAGTACTTGGTTGGGAAGTGGGATTTGATGGTGTGTGTGTTTGTGTGTGTGTGTGTGTGTGTGTGTGCGTGTGCGTGTGTGTGTGTGGGGGGGGGGGCGTGTGTG